TGTTCATTCAGTCTGAAGATGAAGTGATTAAGATTTCTGAGCACTGGGTGATCTGTAAGCATCAAGAAGTCAGAGTGGTCCTTGGGAGGGTTAGAAGGGTTGAAGAATCCACACTAAGGAGGGCAAGGCCAGTTTGATTTGAGCAGGAGAATTCAAGAGCAGGATGGTCAGAGGAGGGAACATAAATCTAGAGCGAGAGATGTAAACAGGAGAACCAGTCTGAGACCATGTGCCTCTGAGGTTATCAGTTACTCTGGTGCCTTTTCAACGAACCTGCCCTATGTTCAGATTTGTTTGGGTAGATTTTTAGAAATTGAAGACTAACATTGAGTTCTGTCAGAATGGACTGTTTTTTAAGCAGCTACCAGAAAATTAAATTAATTAAATTTTAATTTCAGAAAATTAAAATTGTATTTGCATAAATAACAAAAGTAATCTCAACAAAATAAATTTAGCTCAATTGGAAATTCACCATGCACTTATGTTGCTTATTTCACCACTAACTGGTGAACGCTTTCCTACACACTAGCATCTGTCCCCAGGCCACTGTTCCCTGGCCCCTCCCACTCCAAAGGATGCCTTTAGGCCAGTACCTGTCCTTCATCTCAAATGGTCATGCAGAGTTCCTCAGGTGAAGGAGCCTACATTTTCTTTTCTTTTCTTTTTAATATATTATTTTTATTGATTTCAGAGAGGAAGGGAGAGGGAGAGAGAGATAGAAACGTCAGTGATGAGAATCATCGATTCTCTGCCTCTTGCACGCCCCACACTGAGGATTGAGCCCACAACCCCAGCATGTGCCCTGACTGGGAATCAACTGTGATCTCCTGGTTCATAGGTCATGTTCAACCACTGAGCCACACGGGCTGGCCTACATTTTCTTAATGATAATAATTTACATTACTATAGAGTCTGTATTATCGTACTATACCCTGGGGTTTTACTTAACTGGCTATTTTAAACAATTCTTTATGTCATATATCTGTGTGTGAATAATTGTGAGTTTTGCCATATTCCCAGAGAAAATTACACAATTTTTTTTTTCTGGCTGAACCTAGATGGTAGAGGGGGAAACCCCCGCAGAAAAGAAAAATGCTGCCTTTACCAGTAACATGAAGTTCTTACTTTTGACTTAAAATCTTATTTTTAATATCCAAATATAGGCATGAAGCCTTTATAAAGAGGAAGAAAATTAAAGTCGAAGCAATTTTCCTAACTTCGCTTTACTAAAAGAGTGTACCGATAAGAAAAAATCAAATTATATTTCACCTCCATGTCATAAGAAGCCCCGTGATATAAGTTTAAAAACAAACAGTGGCCCCGCTGGCATGGCTCGGTGATGTTTCTATCTCTCTCTCCCTCTTTGAAATCAATAAAAATATGTTTAGAAAATAAATAAAAACAAACAGTGGGTGTACATCACGGGTGTTACTATTACTAGGAGCCTTCCAGGGCAGTATATACATTTACATCTGCTTCCTGGTGAATGAGGGATTGCGGCCTGAAGGTTAACATAACCTCAGGTTCAGCCAAGAAGCTCCGCGGGGATTTAACGGTTTGTGGAACAACTCCAAAACCGGTGCTGTGCTCTCCTCTTTCTTTGCCTTTCTGCTTCTCTAACTCTCCCTTTTCAAATTAAAAAAAAAAAAAAGAACGCGTGGTAATGCATCATTTATAAGTTACCTTGTTATTGCAGAAACAAAACACTGCTTTGAAAACCAAACAAACTCCTGCTGCGCACTCCCGCGCGTTTGATGGAGGCCCTTCAAAAGAGTCCCCGCTCGGTGGAGGTTGTTTATTGGAGTCTTCGATCGGTACCTGCTGTCCCCCTCACTCCCGGGAACCTTGGCGGCAGATGTTGCAGCGCTCGGTTGTCTCTGAAGCGGCGTTCTGTCCCGGTCTCCCCACCGCAATGGAGTCAACCCGCATTAGATCTCTGTATCTGTGCCTAAGGCAAGTTTGGGAGCGCAGCTGTGTCCACCCCTGCTCCTACCTTTGGTGTTTCGGGCCTCCAGGCAGCGGCTGAGACCAAAACGGTCCAGCCGCTCTCCGCCTCCTCCGCTGGCAATGCGGCCGCTCGCTGGCGGCTGGGGAGGCCGCCGCCGCCGCTGCAAACAGATGTCGGCGACAACCTGCAGGCTCACACCTGGCCGCGGCCCTGCCCTGGCGCCGGCGCTGAGACCTTCATGGCTCCGAGGGGGCGCGGCCCCAAAGCCCGCGGACGCACAGCCGCCTCGGCAGGAGCTGGCGGCGCTGAGAGGCAGCGGGAGCGAGGGACGCGGGGAGGGCTCGCGCCGCTTTGATACTTTATGCCTGAACTTCAATGACTTGATCAAGGACTTCAATTCAGCCGTGAATTCTGCAAATGAGCCTGGTGCGGCCTCCGCGTCATGAAAGGAGAGCATTTGACTTGCAGAATAAGTGTGCGTGACTCTGGGTTTAGTGCTACGTTCGCTGATTTGTTTATTAAACTGAACTCGCAGGAGGCAGAATCTGCGGTAAACAACTTATAAATAAATGACAAGATTGTTTTCCAAGGTAGGAAACGTGCCGCTGACGAGGCAGAGGTTCTGTTATATTGGAGCCATCAGCCACGGCCCGAAAACAATTGTGTTTTACTGTTTCTTAAACATCATAAGGTTTGTTCTTTTTCCTTTTTTAAGAAAAAAGACTATTCCTTCCTTTAAAAATTTGGAAATGGAAGCACTCTCGTTTGTTTCTGACAATATAAAACAAACTGCATTCAATTCCAACTAGAATATTTTTCCAAAAGCCTACCTAATTCCTATAACATACAAATTGCTTTATATTTACACTCACACACACACCCCTCCTACACCATTAAACAAATATTTCATAAGAAGTATATTCAGTAGTAAACATACACCAGCTTTTATGAGTACAGGAAAAGAACAAAATTATTTGCAAATGTTATTCACCAATTTATATGAAAAAAAATGCAATCAAAACAACTCCAACACTAACCTTCTCATTCAATGATTTCCCGGCTACCAAGAAAATCCAACACAAAGAGCCCTGCCACTGGGACATCTTGGTCCATGTTAGGCACTACCTCAATATTTGTTGAATGAACGAGACTAATGCATCCTTTCAAAAACCAAATATATCAACTTATCCAAACTCAAAGATCTCTTGTGTTCCCAACCTATTCTGGTTTTAACCTCCAACCTCCATACTTCCTAGTAATCCACAAATGATAGTATTCTTGGCTGCCTCAGAGACTTTGCTCGTGATGCTTCGTCAATGGAAATGCTCATTCTACCTAACTCCACCTGATGAAATCCTACCTTTTTTCAAAGGCATAAGGCCTATGTTTTTGAAAAAGCATCCAAAATTCCTCCAAAAGGAAGGTTTAATCTCTCTTACTGTATGCATTCAAGATCACATTCTGGAGTAAACATTATTTTTATATGTATGTCTCGGTTCCCAAACAAATTTCAGGTTTCTTAAGAGCAAAAGCTACAGCTTGTACACCACCCGCCCCTTGGTTAGTATTACCTGATGCCATTACTTGTACATATTTATAATAAAAATTATTTAATTAAATCAAAATTAGTAGGCATTTTGAAAGACTGAAAAATAAATTTTAATTATGGGAATTAAAAGAATATATAAAGTATTGGCAAGAGTGCTGAGAGCATTGTCTGTTTTTGCTGGCCAATACATCTTCAGTGTTAGCAATTCCCAACACTTACATTATTGAACAAATGAACTAATGTCTAACATGAGGAAGAGAAAGTCTAGTGTATTGAATGATAAGTAGGGTTGCTATATGTTGTTGCAGAAGCAGAACTCCAAATCATGCGTACATTTAAACAGAAGTACCATTAAATATAAGACCACTCTATTAACCACAGAAGTCTAGTAATGAAAAAGTCTGCTTCAAAAACTACCTCGTTCTCTCTACCTGTGGTACTAGCAAAGGGTAAGTGATCTGGGAATATTCCAGGAATATTTTCTCAAATTAGATTTCCTAAATGGTTGAACTCAGATATTTCTGAAATCACCCCCATCTCATAGAAGTAAAATCGTAAGATTTAGACATTTTTGTCTTTTAAATACCATGACAGAACCATACAACACTAAATATAACTTTAGCTTGGCACTGTAAAATAAATATGAATCTCATCACTTATTTATCCTTAAAAAAATAGCTTATTGCACCTGAATGAACCGAAGTCCTCTGAAGCTGAAGTGAATGATGTTCAGGATCGTGCTGACACATAATGAAAACATTGTTGTTACCACTAACAGTGGTGTGTTTCTCAACAAAACTCACTATTGTTACATATCAAAAGGTTTTAAACATTTTTTTCTACATTGATACAATAGCAAATAGTGCTAATATATTAAAGAAATTATAAAACTGGAGGAATTCTAGACAAATCTCCAAAAACAAAAAAGCTTCAATAGGCTTACTTGGTAGAGAAAATGCATACACATGTGTATGTGTATTTGTATATTTCTATACATATGTGTATGTGTGTATATATTTCTATAATGCTTTCAAAGACACTTTCATATATTTAAGAAATTAGATTCATCAACTGTTGGAGGCAGGGAAACAACATATTTATACTGAGAAATAGAGGCTCTGAGGCGTGTTCTCCAGTCTTCATTGCTAGGAGATGCTAGAGAAAGACTTCAATTCCTAACCTGGAGTCTGTGTCCCATTGGGTGAAACCTCAGAACATGATGTCGTCCAAGTCAAAGGCTGCCGCAAAGAGTGTGCTCATTAAAGCAAGTGTACAATGGGCCACAATTTTTTTATGTATTACTTGAAAAGGGATTTATTAAACTGCATCTTGAAGATGTATTCTAACAACAGATAATTTATTAAGCACCATATATAATAGGAGATGATAAATCCTTCCTGAAATGTACTGAGGGCTTTAAATTCTTTTTGATTATTATTATTTCACTTTCATTATACAGACCCACGCAGTCAGCTCCTTCCCAACACATCCTCGCATACAAACCTCATCTCCTTCCTGAGGTCGCATCAAGGAAACCCGGTCGTACTGCCGCCGCAGCAAAGCCCAGAGCGCGTCCAGCCGACCCTAAAGGGAACATATTTGTAAATTCCTAAGGAACACACGCAACCTCTATTGGCTGAATACATGAGTTAAAATGAAGGTGGTACAGCCTAATCTCTACTCTCACTTTTTTCATAAATTAAAATAAAGAATAAGTAAGTAAGAAGAAGAGGAGGTCCTTGTTGCTGAGAACATATTCAGTTGCTATAATGCAGACTGCATGTCTGCTATGTGATGGACCAGGGTCCTCCTTCAGAGACTTGGGTGGGGAGGACAAAAAGAGTTACAGTTTCTCTGGGAAATTTCAGTTAAATTACACAAAACTTGGGCAATACCTTAATTGGTGTGTACCACTTTGTCTGAGGAGGCTGGTACGAGGGTCTGGGTCGAGGTGGCCTCGGCCGGATGGGTTCCTCTGTTTCTTCAGGGATTGTCACCACAGCATTTTTGGCTTTCTCTAGCCTTGCACCTTCCTCAGTAGATCCTTTATCACCCCAGCGAACCTTTCAAACAAAGGGGAAAACATTATCTCAGACATACAGTGTCTTGGAAAAATAAGTTCTGATTTAACCAACGGTCCTTCAGTTCACCACCTCAGAGTAAAAAGAAGATGCATAGTAGACTAACTCTAAATTTCTCCTCTTCTGAGATTTAATAGGTTTACCACCATTACTTATGGTCTTAACATGAAGATCCCAGAAAATATAAAAATAAAAGGCCCTTTGTATAAATCTAGAGTTAATTAAAATTTGAAGCAACCATTTTTCCATTGTTTCAAATAAGGAATTAACAGGTAGTTCATAATGCATGATAGTATGTAATCCTATTCTTTAATCAGATAGAGTCCTCTTCCAGCTAAACACATACCCATATATACTGATGGCACTGAGGGAAATAGACGATAATAATGATAATTACAATTTATTGAATGCTTACTATGTGCCCATCTGCATTTAATTTATATACAAATGCAATGAGATACTGTATTTTGCCTTCCAGATGAGGGAACTGAGACCCAGAGAGGTTCAGTGACATACCCAAAGCCATCCAGCTAGTAAGTAGCAGGGCAGAGATTTGAATGCAGATAGTCTGAAATAGGTTATTAAGTTTCAAATAGGTTTGAATTTTATAAATGTATTTTACACAAAGGAGTTCATTGTTCCTTCCAAACTTTTCATAAAGTTTGATTGAGGCAAAATGTATGATTTAAACATTTATTCTTCAGAAGTAAAATAACTATATATGTTTTTTTCCTTACTTTTGTAAAGCCTGATTTTATAAAGTAACTTTCAGTCTTTAGTTCCTGTTCTCATCTGAGTATGGTTACTTGATATAACAGTTTTTCATTGAGGAAGACAAATTTTGAAGAAAAAAAAACTCGGTTATGGAAAGAAAATTTCAGAAACACCAGGGATTTCCACAAATTTTAGGGAATTTTGTTCTTTGAAAATTCTGGACATTGAAAAACCACAGGGTCAACTGATTGTTTTCTCTGTTTTAAAATGAACAAGAAATAAGAGCTAAATCTGAGTGTGTGAGCATGTGAACAAGATGCAGCCCCTAGAAAAGGCTTCATCCAACCAAGAGCAGTGGAGAAGTCCAAAGCCAAGGGCATTACCAAAGATGACAGAGGTAACATAAATGAAGCTCTAGAAAGAAGTAGGAAGGCCTGTCCAGGGCACACTGATTCAGCAGAGTTAAGTGATTTCTACAAAGAAAAAACTGTTAAATCCATTTTAAAGCATTTTAATGACCTTAGTGGGTGGGAATACAGATAATCCCTATTTATAGAAAGAACTATTCCCCGCTTTTTGGTAAGGCTTCCTTAGATGTTTTTAGCCTTTTTTTTTTTCACTACAGTTTTAGAATAGGCTTTCAATTTCAATTGGGCCCTATTGACTCATCAAAATGTATCTGTATCTCTCAGTGTGATCAGTGGTACTAGAATGTTCTTTATGAGGGTGTTAAATTGCTTTAAACACCATTAAACCTTTAGAACTAGATAGCTGGCTCTCCTTCCAGAGAAGTGACCTTCTCTTTCAAATCACAGCACCTTCACCTAGATAAACTAAGACTTCTAAAATCTTTAGATACAGCTAAATTGAACTACAAAACCCTAACATCAGGACACATATCCTTGCAGCTGTAAAGTCTCAATTTTAAGGGGAAAAACAAAAAATGGAAAAAGATGCACAGTAAAGTAAACATATAAATATTATAACTCTAAAAGTAATTCAGAATAGAAGTATAAGAAGATACATTTTAGACCCATTTAGAAATGATAGATTTTAACATATACAGCTCTTCAGCCTAACCTTCACAGCTGGTATCGCAAAGTTCATGGTAATCATCTTTTCCCTCCAAGTTTCACTGAAAAACCAATCTCAGATAAAGAACCCAAAGCTGGTTAAACTAGAGTTCTGACCCAAGGTGGCATTTCCAGGAACTCAACTATCAAGACACTACACGTATGAAATATGGTTGCTGAGTTCTAAAGGAAATTCGTTATGTAAATCTACTAGTGTTAGTTCATGAAGTAGCTGTTTTGTCATCACCATCAGACAAACAACATAACAAACGATCTCACATCATCTCAAAGTCTAACTTTATAGTTTTCCTAAAACTCTTAAAAGCAGTTAAATATGTACACAAGTATATGTATACATTTTAATATTTTAGCTTGACCACATTGAGATGGTCACAAAGGATAAAAGAATAACAAGACTAAATCACCAAAGGGAGACTTAGCAGAGTTCATATACATGGATATTTTTTTTGGGGGGTAGGGGTGGGGGGAGAAGTAAGCGCAAGCTAGATAATTAAGTTCTTCCAACTCTGCTTGACTTTCATGATAAACAATAATATTCCATAATTTTCAGAGCATATTTGGATGACTAGAAGGTTATATTATAAAGGAGCAATTTCAGAACCAAGAAAAGAAACAAAAGCAGTTTCACGCTGAATTGGCAGAAATACACATTTGAAGTCATTAGGTATTGTGGATCAGCTGTGCTAACAGCTGTTATTAACATCAGCTCAATTCCAGTTTTCTGCAAATTTCCATTACCATAGTTCTAACTAAAATCCCTATACCAGCTTAAAATAGCATTAGTTATGAAGATTTGTTCTGTAATTCAGATGTGGTCATAATTTCTAGAATTCCTTTTACTTTCCCCAGTTCCATGTATTTTTTCAAAGAAAATGCTTTCCAGGTTTGAATAGGCAAAATTTTAAAGCAGATTATGTGTTCTGTTTTCCCTCTCCAAGTTTAAGTAAGTTCATGTTTGAGAAAGTTTAATGATGTTTAACGATCACTTCAATTTTTATTGTGTATTTTTAGGTATTGCATTTCCCCTTTGTAATGTCCACATTTAATTTTTCATTTTTTGTCATTCTCATTCCCATTTCCATCTTATTGATGGACTACACCATAAAATGTAGCCAGAATTATCTAAAGCTAAAGTGGACCTCAATTATTAAAAGTGGGTGAGTCCTTGTCATAATGTTTTTCTCAACTGAATAGAAACAGGCAATATAATTTCACATGTTAAGAGAATAATGCTTAAAACTTAAAGTACAAGTTATTAAAAAATGTGTGTGAATCCTTGGCTTTCTTGAGCATAAACCAATAATATACCCTTTAACTTAGGACCTATTCAGCTCATGCCTATGCTTTTCTTTAGAAAGAGATCTCAATCTTTGGGACACTGAAATATTGAACTAGCAAAAATCTGGCATAATTCCTAGAGTTTTAACAAGAACATTATTTACTCATCTAAAATATACTAATATATTACATACTAACACATCCGTATCTTGTTGTCATGTGGTTTTTTACAAGTGTAGATTTCAAAATGGACTTAAATTTATTGTTCTGAATACAGGATTGGGCAAAAGTAGATTTATAGTTGTTTGTATAGAAAATAATACAATAACTAGTAAATAATAATACAATAATAAACTATTTCACATACTCAGAACTATAAACCTACTTTTACCTCACCCTTATGAGTTCAATGTCAAATAAATAAGGAAAAAATGGAGAAATATACAGCACAAATTGAAAATCACTCCATGCAGAGAAAACTATTCTAACATTTTGTGGTATATCCTGTCAAAACTTTTTTTCCCTTTGCAAACATCTTTTTATGTTTGCAATGTTTTGCAAAACATTCATTTTGAAATGAGGCTAACTAAGCTAAAAATAAGTTGTGATATCATATATAGATATCCAAATGTAACACTTTTATTTACAAGTGCATTTTCTATATACAAAGGAATATCTAATCCACTCTTTCCCACCCCTCCAAGGCTAGAACGGAATAGCAAAGTCAGGCTGAAGGAAAATGACCTTCCTTCTGCATCAAGCAACAAGAGCTAGCCCAGTTATGGTCTTCATACTACCTGATATTCCCAATTACCCACAGGCAAACACAGATGCAATCTTCTCTCCAAAAGACAAACTTAATAGATTTTAGCACTTGCCTTTTCCATGGCTTATTGGCAATGAGGTACTTGTCTCAGAAGATATTTCAACAATACAGTGGCAAGCTTTTATGGATAATGTGCATTATTTTAACATGTAATATGCTCAAGAACGTGACAATCACTATCAGATGACTTGAATAACCATTTTGATAATGACAACCATGTTAAGTAGGCCTAAGCTTTCTTTGAAAACTACTGAAATTTATTCTAAAAAGAGGAAACTTTTATTGGGAATCTGAAATTTATTGAAGTGTTTAAAAAAGAAAATTGCAACAGTTTCGAGGTTGCTAGTTAGCTAATTGACTTCTGCTGGCAGTGATGGGACAAAGCAGATATGACAGAAGACATGTGCCATGACTGCACAACATAAAAAAATTCCTTATCAAGAAGTAAAATTAAAGGAGAAAAATGTCAAGATCTGTGTTTAATAATGAAGGCAATATATCAATGAAAAATTCTTTCAATTCTCGTTGGGGTGAGATGCTGGCATATTTGAACTAGTGAAGGGCTCAGTGCCGGCAATGATTGCATATTATTAATTAACTAGAGGCCCGGTGCATGAAATTCATGTACTGGGGAGGGGGCACTCAACCCAGCCTGTGCCCTAATAAGCCAGTAATCAGACATCCCTCTCGCAATCCAGGACCTCTTGCTCCTTACCACCCACCTGCAGCGTAGGCGGGAGGGAGAGGCTTCCACCACTGCAACTGCTCTCGCCAGCCGTGAGCCCAGCTTCTGGCTGAGTGGCGCTCCCACAGTGGGAGAGCACTAACCACCAGGGGGCAGCTCCTGCATTGAGCATCTGCCCCCTGGTGGTTAGTACATGTCATAGCAACCGGTCATTCCGCCAGTTGCTCCACTGTTTGGTTGATTTGCATATTAGGGTTTTATTATATAAGACTAGAGGCCCGGTGCACAAAAATTTGTGCACTCGGGGGGGAGAGGGGGTCCCTCAGCCCGTCCTGTGCCCTCTAGCAGTCTGGGACCCCTCAGGAGATAATGACCTGCTGGCTTAGGCCTGCTCCTGGTGGCAGAGGGCAGGCGCAATCCCTAGGTGCAGCCCCTGATCGGGCTCAGAGCAGAGCCGATTGGGGAGTTGGGGCGCCGCCCCCTGTCATGCACAGAGCAGGGCGGATCAGGAGGTTGTGATGCCACCCCTAGTCACGCTCAGGGTAGGGCGATTGGGGGGTTGGGGCACCGCCCCCCTGTCACACTCAAGGCAGGGTCGATGGGGGAGGTTG